CCAAGATGCACACTGCTGCTCTGCGCTTTGTGTCCTGTGCCACTGGGGTTCATGGATCAAAAAGAGTTTATTTCAGTGACAGGTGACATCAGCACACGAGCTGTTGACACAGGAGGCAGCATGAAGACATGAGCACCGCTCTTTCTTCACTCTCAGCAGAGAAAGGTGGGGCTGGTTCTCTGTTATCTTTATATTTAACATTGACTCCAAGCAGTGTAGCTAGAGGGGATGGAAACACAATCAACTCATTTTCATTTCTGTGTTGCCAGTTTGAATTAGGGCCAAGCTGATATTGGCCCAGAGTTATTACTATTTGCTTAGGACTGTGAGACCTCTTTGTATGCTTTTGTTGCCTCTTGCCCATTAGCTCGTGGACCACTGTGTCTGTAGCACAAAAGGCTCCGTCACTCTTCTTGGCCATCCTCACTCCTCATGGCCAGCTTGGGCTGGCAGCCAACGGCATGTGCACAAAAGATAAAGTGTCTTTTTTATTTCCAAGCCCGTGCTTCTGCATCGTAGCATGACTGTTACAGAAAAAGCTTGCATTTCAATGAACCGTCCTTGTTTGGGATTTTTGGTTTGTTTTGCGAGTGCCTTTTAAGGATTCTTACACATTGTGACACAGCACCTATCACGAGCATTTAATTCCAGCACGAAGACTTTAAAAGTACATATATGGAAACGGCTAGGAAGAAGCCTAACGTTCCTGAAGAATGTTACTGTCTTCAGTTTTATATGCTACCTGCACTTTGTGGGTTTTGCTTCTCAAAATCTGGCTAGCTGCAAGGAGTCATTTTAAATGGAAGTGACACAGCAAAAGCTACTTTCATAGCTTCCAGATTTAAAAATAGCTCTCCTAACATAATTTTTCCTTCCAAGGTAGAATATACCTTCAATAGGAAAACATGTGTGCACATTGTTAATGCAGGATCTCTTTTCCATGGTTCTGTTTTACAGTGAGTCATCTGCTCACTGGCTCTGTATGTCTACATGAAAATGAGTGGGAATCAGCTTGGTTTCTGAAATTCCCTCTTATATATTGACTGTAAATCTGTGGTGGTTATTTTAAAATGCTTCCCATTCTGTAGACACAAAAGGAACATTAAGTGCAACAAAAGTAATGTTGGATGTTCTCCCTGAACCAGGGATGTAGCTATAAAATGCTATGTGTTGGTTAATCTGGTGGAATGCTAATCCACTTTCAGACCAATGTAAGAATTGAGCCAGTATGATCAGAGGAGTTTGTTGTTTCAAGAAATAAAAAATAGATTGAAGGCACCATAATTTAGAATATCTCAGTTGTTTATCTCAGAGCCACATGAACCAGTATCAGCTGAGCACCTGACTGTTGGAGATCAGCTCCTCATATGGTTTTTTTTTAAAAAAAAGCTTTAATTTGAAAAGAACAAAGTTATTGGGCTATTTCTTAGAATTTTGGGGCAAACCTTCAAAACTGGAAAAAAACAGTCCACTTTTTCTAACTTCTATGTTGTCTTTATTTTGCATACTAAACTCAGAACTAGACTATTTCTGATGACACACTCACCATTTAGTGAAGCTGTGAATAATCCTAACAATCAGAGTGTATCAAGTCTCCACTTGCCTTTACATGCCTTTACTTCATGCCAGCTCAAACAAAAGTTCCTGAGGGTAGGTCTGCTGCTTTGGCCATAACGCCTTCTGGACCTGTACTGCTCATGTTGATTTGCCAGTGACAGACGTGTGACCCTGTGTGAGGCACCAGCGGTCAATGGAAAGGGTGACATAACTCAAAGAGGTGGGAAAGTAAGAGTTCCCATGGGACAATTTAATGACAAAGTGGAAGGACTTCTGTGACTTAGACCACAGAGATGTAACAGTCCTGCTACATGTTCCAGTGGGAGAAGAAAAATGCTAAAAGTACGATACAGTAAAACTAGGAAGCGTGTATATTCACTTATCATTCCTAAGATTTTAAAGATGCGATCTGACAGCCACAAATATAGTTTCCACAGGCAAGACTGATGAAGAGAAAGATTGCTCAACATTTACACAAGCGAACCCTTGCGAACTCCTGCTCTTTGAGTAAGAAATTTTCTACTAAAGGAATTAAGGAAAGCATTGAGCTAGCTCAATTGATTTGCAAACTAATGTTGAAAAACAGAAATTACTTGTGAGAGCACGAGGGCAGCTGGGAGGCAGGTTTGTCCTTCTCTTGGATGGTAACAAAAAGTGCTTCATATCTTGGGTCCTTACCTCCTCCAATTTCCTTTTTTTTTTGTTTGTTCATAGTTAAGAAAATCACATTATGTTTGTTTTTTCATTACAATAAAGATTCCTTCCAAACTCTTGGTTGTCCTAACTTAATTATACTGTAAATATAATTAAAGAACAGTAGTATTGAGGATGTCTGTTCCTTGGGCGCTCTGCCAGCTAAGTAACCACCATATACCTTTTTCATTATCTGGGAAGCTTCCTCATCAGCCTTCTCCAGAAGATGTCAAAAGGTATCTGTGAGTTGTTATTCAATCAAAGTCATTTTAGAGCAGCAAATTAAATATTAACACTCTAACACTCTATTCTTTTTGTTGTTGTTGTTTTTCTTCTATTTGAGGAGTGGGGAGAAGTGCATTTGGTAGTGTGCTGGTAACGTATGTCCTATTCTAAGGTCAGCAGCAGCAGATGAAGGTGGCTAATTACTCAGATCTGAGTCTTTCACACCCCCCAGTCAGAGGTGATGGTAGTTGTGTGTATCAACATCCATTTCTGAGATCTTTTATGAGATCTGTATGCTTTTGTAGGAGGGCACAGTAGTAAATTAATTTTGAAGTAGAATAAGTGTTGCTTATCTGAAAGGAAGACCCACAACTTCATAGAAGGTCCAGGTGGTACAGAAGTGGCTGGAGCTTTGTTATAGGATCACTGATCAGAAGACAGCCTAAAAGCAAATTTTAGTACCAGGTCTCAGACATCCTCTTGGAGTCAAGGGAGATGGTAATACAGCTGCATTTCTCATCCTGCTTTTTCTGCAGCCCACTGTCCTACTCGCTCCTGTGAGCTGCTAAACTTGAGCTGGCTGAGTCTCAGCCAACCTCCAGCCTTCACCCTGTGTTGTGAAATACTGAAGTGCCTCTGGTACCAACATGCAGTTGTCTGTTGTCAGCTTCCTCACAGGGGCACAGCCCAGTTCTACTACCAGTCTCATCAGCCCCAAATGTAGTGACAGAATAGAGCCCTACAGACATCCTGCTTAAAGAGTTTGAGATAGGGCTTGTAAAAACTTGAGACGAGTAAATGCCTGTGAGCATTTCCAACAGAATAAAAGAAGACAGAAACTGAGTGCCTAAACTGCAGTAGCTGGTCATCAATACCTCACAGTTGTATGTAGCAAAGGTACCTCATAAATCTAATAATAACTTGTGGGTTTGATCATGGTTATCTTTTTTCCTCTGAGATCCTGCTCATGCTTTATACACATCAGCCAAGTGCTGCTGTGTCCTTGGATTTCCAGTGACAGGCCACCATCTAAATGCAGGTAGCGCTATAGAACAGAGCACAGCTGAGTTCTCTGCCAGTGGCAGCGGTTTTGGCTGTGTTCCAGCAGTCCGGCATTGTTTGGCTCTGCCCTTCTGATTCTGCTGCTGCTGTAGTGTCCAGAGAGCCCGCCTGGACCCTTGCAGCTGCCATCACTGTTCTGTTACGCCCTGCACTGGAAAACAGTCCCAGCCTGCCTGCTCCAGCCTGGGGGCTCAGGTGGCTCACATGTATTTCTGCAGCACTCCACAGGCCATGCTCCCACATCTGCCTGCATTAGGAGATGCTGTCGGAAGACTTGCTTTGCCTCTCCTCCTTCTCTGGGGCTGTGCATTTGTGTTGCGCTCATGATCAAAACCCGTGTCTCATTCTTCATTGACTTTTTTTTCCTTTCTCTCTGATACCTCAGTCAAGGGGTATGACAAAAGCATGTTTGGCAATGAACTCCTGATTTGGCACTATATGTCAGCTCTGCAAAATTCTGCGGCCATCTTCATCAAGGAAATGAGCTGTTACAATACGATTAAACTCTTGTCTTTCTCTAATCATCAAGACAGATGATGAAATCAAAGCTTTTGCTCCCTGGCTGGCAAATTTTTTCCACCTATTTGCAAAGCTACATTTGAAATTTCCTTTTACTGTCCATTGCTTGTAGGAAGAGGTTTTGGCAAGTCTGAGTAAAAACTGTTTTCAAAGTACCGTGCTAGCTGTTTAGAGAATAAAGTCACTATGAATTGACTGTTAAGGAGTGTGCACAGGTTGGAATTAAAACCAAAGAATGATCTACAATTGCTGTGGGAATCAATTAAAAACTGAGATTTTAAAAAAAGGGCACAAAAGAAAAGATGGCCTTACTCTCTTGAGGCAGACAGGGAAAGAAATAGGTCCTCTGGTACAGACAAGAGAAGACAGGCAGCTTCATAGTTCACACTTTCCAACTGTTTCAGTAACTGAAATGAAGTGTCTGTCTTGGGACTTGCTATACAAATCATACTCCTTTTCTAATGCTGGTCTTACATTAGTGTTGATCTACTAAAACTCACTCATTAATTTCTTCCTGAAGTAAATGCTGTCCTTCTAAAGTTATTCCTGTTGTCTTTGTCTCTAAGAAATAAGTTTTTTAAAAATAATAAAATCAGGACATCAGGTTTCTGTATTGCAGTTTGCAAAAGTAAGAGGTTAGAAGAATGATGAAAATCTTTCCATGTCTGCCTGAATCTTGAAAGAAAAAATCAACAACAAAAACCTAGACACTTCATTATAACCTAATCATCTTAATCAGAGCAATAAATATAAAAAATGTGAGGCAACTATGTGTGTGAGTGCAGGACAGAGAAAGGTTTAGGGCAAGGATCAGTGGAAAATCTTTAGAAATGATGTAAGAGAAAGCAAAGGCAGGGATTGGAGTTTGTAGCCTACAGCAGAGACTATAAAAACTCTGAAAGAAAGCTGAACATTAGGGATAAGTTAGGGGGAAGAACATAGCAGGACCATTAAGGTTGGGATTGCTTGTATCCAATGCAAGGTAAGAAGAGTGAGGACAGAGACGGGTTGGGGATGTTTTGTGACTTCTGCTCTGTTTACAGAAGCTTTCTTCCTTTCTGTGCTTGCTTCCTTTCATTTTTTTTCAAGTTTTTTTGTATTAACAGGCATGCACAAGGTATACACATGCCCATGTCTGACGGGAAAAGCACAGCTTCTTTTTCCACTTTGAGATTAAGATAATAAGATGCCTATCACCTAGTATTTTTTCTTCTAAAACTAAACTAATAATATTTTGTGGCAACTTATTTCCTTCAGTTAATCAGCCAATATTTAAACAAGATGTGTCAGTGCGTTTTACAACAGTGACTAGTTACTTTCATGCTTTTGCAGTGCTTTACAGTAAACTGCTGTCTGTTTATATTGTCATGGATTTTCCTCTGTGTATGTTATTGTCAAATGCACATTGCTAATTAAAATAAGCTGAAGAGCTATGACAGAGTAGTTCTTTTGCATTACTAAATACCATATGAGGTAGACAAGTTTGTTGCATGTAATATATTTTAAAACAAGAGATGATTTAGAGAAAGTCTTTAATTTATGCATTTGCCAAGGGGTTTTATTATATCCCATGTTAGATAAATGTTGATCCAGATTCTGCCACATTCCTGCAATAACGGAATAACCCTGCAAAAACATTCCTACACTAACTGAGTAATTATCATTATCCAGTGATCTGACCACTTCAGCTTTGTACCACTGTAAGTGAAGGCAGACTCTGATTCACTGATAATCATTGCAAGTTCTCCAACCTGAGTTCAGCTATTTCACTGTTCCTTTTTGCCTTCCAGATTGGAGTTGTACAAGTAAATACATGTGAATAACCTTTGGTTTGGATGTCCAGAGGGTACAGTACAGTTCATAATCCACTAATTTTTGAAGCACGACCACACGGTGCCTCTAGCTTTCCTTACTTGGCTTTTCAGTGTGGAGTGACTGTCCTCTCACGAGGAGAGCAGAGCTCGGGGACATTTCATGTCCCTGCCCACTGATGCACACAGGAAGCCTGGGGCAAATTATTACTCATCATTATTATCACTGCTCACCTGTATTCAAAAATGCATCTCAACCTCCTTCTTTTGTAAAATACTTGGAATGTCATCAGGAATAACAGGAGAATAAACAAACAGGAAAAAAACCAAACCAAGTGAACCTCTGGTGTAAATGATGGGAAAACTGCAAAACATATCTGGCTGGATCAAGTGTTCTTCAGTATTTATAAATACCTGTCACACTGATTTCAGCAAGTTAGGGCTTCATTTTCACTCTTTGAATGAAGGACAAGTGTACCTCTCTGGGCTTCTTAAGGAATACATTAAAAAAATTGAAGCATACGACAGTTGTAAGAGATCTTGACTGACCCTGACAAAGATTGCACGTGGCTGCAGCTTTCCTTTTCTTCTTAGGCAACCCAGAGAAACAGATCGCTCTCTAATTTCCATTTGCAATGCATCTTCACCGAGACTTGTCAAGTAACATCACTGATCAGAACATTTCAGTGTTAATCCAGTAAATCAGCATCAGTGTTTGAGTCTTGTTAAGCAATTCCAATGCCATTCCTGTCTCTTAAGAGCTTATCTTGAAGACCTATCTTGAAGGATATTTTCACTAGACTATAATGATCTATGATTTTTAATTGATAAGATGTTCTGCTAAAATACTCTTCATACCAGGTATGAAGAATATCCATTTATTACTCCAGTGTTGATAAGTGAGGAGATGTTTTTTCTAATATTAAAACCCACAATATATTTCTTGATTTTTATTGATAGAAGTGTTGCTTATTTTTACTTTAAATGCTGAAGGTGGCACTCTAACAATGACTGTTATAGTTCTCATATTAGAACAAGTTAGCATGGTCAGTCAGTACGTACATAAATAGTGTTGGGTTGAGAGTTAGTTGGCAGTGAAGAATAGTCTAATAAGGTTTTGTTTTCCATTGTGCATACCAGAAATACTGCAGCTCATTTAATTATCTTCCTTAGAAAAGGTACAAGTAGGTGCTTCCTATTAAGAGATACTTTCTTACACTTCATAGCATCCATTTTCTTTAATAGTCCCTAAGATTTATCACTTCTGTTTGTGTCTTCTGCTTCATGGTCTCCTACTTTCATGGTATTGAGGTGAGGTTGGGGTTTTTAATTTCTAAAGTTTGTTGCTAAAACAGGATTTATTGCACAGTGTAGTCAGTTTTGCAAGATGTCCAACCTGTCTCCCTCCTGCCCATTCTAAGGAAAGGTGTCCTCATTTGTTCTGCGTGGCCATTTGGTTTCATGCTCTTTATTCAAATGAAGAGACGAGGACCATGAGGGACTCATCTTCCACGAGTGTTTGTCCACCTTTGTCAGTTAATGTTCTCCTGATTCAAGCTTGTGTCTGTGACGCAAATGTACCCCAGCAAGGCTGTGTTCTTACATACACTTTCCAACATCCCCATGGGTATTAGAGGGCCACATTTTCAGCTTTTCTTCGTCTGAACTGTGTGATTCGTTTGCTGCTCCCACAAACCGTCAGTGCAGAGTCTAGTCAAGCCCTGCAGGTACTGAGCCATCTCCGAATGTTTTTTCTGAGTACAGATAGTAGGAACAGTTGTATACTTGAGCATCCTGTGACTGCATCTCCCAAAAGCTCAGCTATCAGTAGCCAAGTCAGCATTTACAATAGATACTTCAGTAAAACACAGGCAAAGATTACTATCGTGGTGACAGGAAAATGTGGAAATCATATTGTTACAGTAACTGCACTTATTGAAATAAAGATTTGAAAAGTAATGACTGATCTCAAATGTCTTCTGGAGAAACTTTTAAGGAACCTCATTTTCAGAAAGTGGAATGTCCTTGGTTTTGAAATACTGTCTGACAAAATGTTTCATTTGGGACACAGAAATATTGGGGCATTATCTAAAAATCAGTAGTTGTACACCTCCTGCCTAAGTTCATGAATTTTAAGTTCTCTCTGGTTACATCAGATGAAACATACTTGCATCTGTTTATCTACATAGGTGGGAAATTGAAAATAGAGGGAAATTTACATTGTAGAAATTAACAGTGACTGTATCGTATATCTAATAAAATATATGGCATTGTTTAAAAATCTACAACTACTCCAGGAAACATGAAGTGCCTTACACTGCTTACATTGTCTTTTGCCACAAATCCCTTGCTTCAATGTCTTGCTTCAGTGTCTTTTTAGAAAGCAGTATACAAGAAGTGTCCCATATCTCATCTGTGGGATGAGAACAAACTCACAATTCTAATGGATTTTTGGACTCTGCTGGTTTTTTTTCTGAGGGTGGGATTTGTTTATGAGTTTTCTTCCTTTTCTGTGATATTTACAAGACTAGAAAATTATCTTTTAGGTATACACGGTCCCTTAGGAGTTTCTGAAATCACTAGGACTGCTGGTATGGGCATATATTTGGCTTTGTGGCAATGAATATGCTCAGCTTATCCAGCCTACAACTTCTAAAAGTAGAGAAAAATTGTTTCAGCAGGCTTACTTTCAGCACTGCACACAAGCCATTTATGAGTCGTTCTTTTGCTAAGATACTCATCCATTGTAATTTTTTTGGCTGAAGTAGATTGCTATCAGGTGTCCAATCCAAGGCTAGTGAGGCCAATGTTAGGATTCAATGGTGTGTTTAAGATAGGTAGCAGCAGTTAATATTCTATTTTGTGGCGCTGGAGCAGCAAAAAAGCACCTCAGGAACTGGCTTACAGCCACAGCTGTGATTTCCCCCAGCTGGCTGGAATCTGCATGGTGTGAGAGATCCTCATGGCTAGCAGGTGAGGGAGGCTCACCAGTACCATCCCAGTGCTCACAGAGCAGAAGAACTGGAGTCCTAATAAGCACTGCCAGGAGCTTTCCAGTGCCTAGGGGACAGTTATTCCCTGGCTCTGCATGAGGGCAGCCTGGGTGCACACAGCACAAGAAAGCTTTTAGACTTAGCCACGACATGCCCATAGTGAGGTTGTGGTTTGCAGGTGACCTCAGGCACATCCTGTGCTGGTGTTGCACCAACAAGCAGGGCACGGGCATCACTACATAGTTGCAGCCTCAGGGAAAGATTATAGTGCAAGGCGTGATGTCTTGCCTCGGTTCTCTTGCTAACAGGCCAGCAAGAAAAATAAAGCTCTTGTGATTTATGCTTGCGGGGTAATCTCCACAGTAATGTGAAATATGATAGTTCAAATGGGTAAGAACAATGACAGTTGTTACCATTTTTGACAGGCAATGGGTTTGGAGCTTGGTGATGAATTGCGTGCTGTCTGGGGTTTGTTCAGCCCACTTATCTTCAGGATGTCATTTTGTTTTTTTGTTTTCCTTTTTTTTCCTTTAAAAGAAAAACAGCTTTTAAGTCCTTTGGTTTGATGTTGGAGACTTAACAGTTTCTGCCTGGTGAAGAATTTGGCTTTCTTGTGATCTTTTCTTGGAAAATGGCTCTGCACAGATTCCTAAGAAAAAGTTTTGAATGTTTATCTTACTTTGATAAGGTAAAATAACGTTCTCTCTTTTATCTTTAATTTTGTTTTAATTGGACCTGAAACAAAGATACCTAATTATATGAGGAATTTTAGTTTTGACACATTTCAAACTAAATTATCACTAAAACATATAAATATGTCTGAATTTCAGGCTTGCAATTACATTTAGTGAAGGGTAAACCATATTTTACATCAGATAACGCTAGACCAGACCCTGAGATACCAAAGACATGGAATTATACCCCAATCCCTTGATTATCTTTGTGAAATTGGTAGTGAAGAGTTTTCCAGAAGAAGGATGAAAATTCAATACAAGCAGTAAGGGTGCATCTTGCAAAGGCCCATGTGGTTGCCAGAACTTTACTTTTCCTCCTTCAGTAATAAAAACTGTGAAGCCTCACTTTAGGTCTTTCTTGGAATGGGTCAAGGTAAAATGTGGTTGGGGTAAAGCAATAACCACTGAACAGCTGGGAAAGCCCATTTTGGCAGGAGGGCTTGGTTACCCAGTGGCCACAGATGAGCTGAAGGAGAAAAAGCAGCTACTGCTTTTAACAGCTAAAATCCTGTAACACGGTTGAAGGTAGAAAGCTCAGTCCCCAAAATGGCAGAAAATGGTGTGATTTTAATCATGTTCCCATAATCCTCATTGCACCCTTAGTTTTGCAAATGCTTTCCTAGAGCTGAACTGCTCCACTAGAACAACCCTGCTTCTTCCTTCTGCCTTGGTCCCATCACTGAGAAAATGAGCTCAACAGGATCTTGCTCAACTTATGTTCTGCTCCCTACTGAACCAGTGATATTGCTTCTTGCCAACTCATTTCCATGGGAACTAGAGCCAAGCTTTAAGTCCTTACAATTTCCTCTCCTTCTAACGTCGCTGGCGTGGAGTTCTGACCAGTTAATCAAATGTTTTTTGTGTTGCAGGTGCCTTAATGTTTATTTTGATTAGTGTAGCAGTTGCTATTTTTAGCATTTTGGTCTTTGGGTTGAATGAGTACCAGCACAGGACTTTAACCATAATAAACGTGTTTTTAACCTTGCCATTTATTTTTATGTCTGTGTATCCAAATAATCAGGATGTGGTTAGCTGTGAAGGTAGTAGACTACTACTTCAAATTTCAGTGCACACCCACATACAAAAATATACATTGTAGAAGGTTACAGCTTTAAAAACACTCAGACAGATCCTTGTCTGACTTTAATGGCTGTTGCTATCGGACTGACAGGCAGTGGTACCACCTGGCTTACTGCTTTGATTTTGTCCTTTGATTCCAGTAAACTAAGTCTGCTTCACCCCCATAGCATGATCTGCAGCTTTCTTCCTCACTATGCATCCCTCATGGACAATATTAAAGAAAAGATATTATAATGGTGTAACCAAATAACAGGACATGTAAAATGTACTGAAAAAGCCAAGCAAGAAACAGAATTTTGAGAAACAACACTACAAATGTTAAATCTTGTCTTTTAAAAACTGAACTCCAAAGACTTTTGTGGCTTTTCTCCATTGTAGTGTGAGGGTAAAGTACAAATCCAAATGTCTTTCTTTCTTACCATGTGTTTTCTGCCTGATCCAATGAGAAATGTTCTGTGCCAAGGATAAAACAACTATAGTAGATCATACAAATTATTTATGCATCCTTTCTGTTTCTGCTGTTGCCAAACAGGGAGTCGGTGAAGAATGGCAGAGTCAGGCTTGAACCGGGAGACACAGTAATCAGTAAATTAGCAGATACCTTTGGCACTAGAAGCTCCAGCCTAGTTCTCACATCAGCTGAATATTTTCACCTGGGTAAATTGGAGGCACATCGGGTTTTAAGAGCTAGAGTCAAACAAGGGTTTCAACAATGTAACCTAAATCCATGGCCAAAGACAAGCCCTGCAGCAAGCAGCTTCAGACCCTGAGCCTCCCAAAACTCGACCCTCCTGCATTATTTAAGGGCTCTGTAACATCTGCCATTCTGCAGCTGTGGCACATGGTCAGAACACCACTGTCTGAGCAGCGGATTCCCATGTAAGGTGCTCCCAGATGTGGGAGCTGGGTAACTTTATTCCAGTATCCCAAGAAGATCATGGAAGTTGTGGCCATCATTAACTCATGTTGAAGACGGGTGAAATATAGCTTTATTTTCAAAATGCTGGTGAAGAGACACTCGCTTTCTCTAACAGCTTTAAGCACCCCTGTGGTGCATGTGAGGAGGTTAAGGACAACCTGGATGGCTATGAGCCACAGTCTCCCTGCTTGCAAGTGAGTGTCTATTTCATCTGATTTAAACACAAGTTTGCATTCATCACTGCTGCCACTGCAAGGACTGGGCCATCGTGCAGAAAGAAATTAGAAGATTTGCAGGGCTGTAAAGGAGCAAAGAGGAGAAAGCCGATTCCCTGAAGGGGAAGAGCATTCAGTGGGCATTCTCTGGTCGCTGGGTTTTATTCAGTGACTCTAAGACAGAGCACAGTAACAACCATGGGAACAGAACCTCCTCTTGCTTTCACGTCTTTCCTACCTGAAAGGCAGCTGTAGAGAGGCAGGTGTTGGCCTCTTCTCCCTAGTGAATAGTGATAGGACAAGAGGGAACGGGCTCAAGATGCACCAGGGGAAGTTTAGATTGGATATTAGGAAAAGCTTCTTCACTGAGAGGAGGGTGAAGCATTAGAATGGGTTGTGAAAGTAAGTGGTGGAGTCACCATCCCTGGATGTGTTTAAAAAACGGTTGGATGTGGCCCTTCAGGAGATGGTTTAATGTTAGGGTGGTGTAGGGCTGTAGGTTGGACTTGATGATCTTAAAGGTCTTTTACAACCTTTATGATTCCATGTTTCTATGATTTGGGACCTGTGTTCCTCTGGGAACACAGCTGTGAAGTCATTAACAGATTGTTCTCCTTTGCAGATGCTGCAGTTCCAGCTTGTTATGGTGCATTTGGCCCTCATGATTACCCTGCTGCGGTGGCATTCAGGCTCCGTGCTCCTTGCTGAGGCAGCTCCGGAGGTAGGTGAATGTTTCTGGTGGTTGTCACATAACCCTGCTCTTCCTCAGGCTGCTCTTGCCTACACAGTGTGGATGACATGGCTCTCGGAGGACAGACAGAATGAAGCCTCACCCAGATTCACATAACCTCTCCTGAAACGCCATGGGATTTTCTGTGTGTTAAAGCATCGTCCAGGGACTTTGGATAGAGAAATTCCTGAAGAGGGGGAGGAGGTGATGGCAGGGGGAAGGCAAACAGTGAGAGAAAGGTTTCATTGTTAGAGAGAAATAATAGCATGAGAAGCGTGCAGCTTTCTGAAACCATAAGAAGATCACTGACTGAAGACCACCTGCACAAAAGTTACAAATTAAAGGAGATGGAATAGACCAGGAGAGGGAAGGAGCAAAGTAACTTGTCTAAGCAGTGGCTGAAATGGCAGAATTGTCTCCTGTTTCATCCAGGATGATATGCAGCGCTTGCACTTGAAAGTACTTGTACTTCATTCTCTTTTTTTTTTTTAATATCATGTTGACATAAGCCAGATTTGGCAGGAAAGTATTTATGTAAAAATTTCATGCCATAAAAAAAGTCAAGGATCTGAAAGTTTAATCAAAGTAGCACTGTTCGTCTGTAGTGTCCCTAAACAGGCTTTTAACATGAGCTTAGAAGTTAGATATGTGCTGAAAAATAGTGATGAATCCTTCCACCTATCTCTGTCCTCAGATAGGCATGCCTTGAATATACAAATGGCATTTGTTGTAGAAAATAGAGCTTGAGTGCTGCAGCAGCTGCAGCTCTGATGCCACAGAGACCTGGTGTCTCAATCAACGACAGATTTTTGTGAAAAGAATATAAGAATAGAACATTATCAGAGAATTTCTGATCCAGAGACTGGATGAGGGCAAGTTTTAACTGCTGATGGGCCTGAATTTGTCTTTGAAACTGTTTAAAATCTTTGTATCTGTGAGGTCCTTTGGGAATGCATTCCACTTCATAGATGTGCTAGGTTTAAAACGTAGCTCCTTATATTTTATTTTAAATCCACCATCTGTTGACTTGACTGGATGTGTTGAGTAGCTCTTTTTTCTTGAGGGAAAAAAATTACAAGTCCTTATTCACTTCTTTTCTGTAAATGAGTTTATAAATCCTCCACTGTACCCCTCATACCCCACACACCTCTGCTTATCTGTGAAGTTGCACTTTGTTCAGTGATTCACAATAGGAGAACTACTGTCTGCTTCTGATTATCATTTCAGCTGTCTCTATACTTCTTAGAATCGTATTACGTCCTTTTTAAGACAAAGTAAGAGGGACTTCTCAAAGTACTCAAGAGCAGAGGCTATTTTTAACCTTCTAGTTTCAAGCATTATTGCAGATATTTGTCCCCACTAATGAGAGCAAGAGTTCAATCTTTTATAGGCATAATTTTGCTGTAAACCTCTTTGAAAGTTTTATAACGCTGAAAGGGAAGAGACAGGATTGCTCAGTGCATTTGAGGCTTATAAAAAGTAAAGTCAGAAGACAATGTGAGATCCTTTACAGAACTATTGATAGTGCTACATCATTTTTGTGATTATTGTGGTCATGTGCTCCTCTTTACATAAAGATCACAGATCTATACACTCCATCACCGATTATGCCACCCATCAGTAGTGGGAAGAGTCACCATCAACAGCTGTGGCATGGACCACAGTAGTGAGAATCATGGTGCATCATGCGTGTGGTGGCTTCCTTTACATTTGTACTAAACTCGCTGTATATGAATAAGAAGGACAATGGTGTGCTTCTAAAGATAGAGGAAAACCTGCTTCAAGACATTTAACAAAAGTTTTGGTTAGAAATTTTTATCTAATTCTGTGGAGATCAAGTGGAGCAAGAAGGCAAATGTTTTATCTGAAGAGAGAATGATTTAGCATCTGCTTTCATAGACTAGCTGCTCCCCTATATTTTTCTATCATTTGCAAAGCAACCATTTCACTTTGTTTAATTTCTCTTTTGATACTCTCCAATATTCTCATCTATTCTGGATAGCAAAGTAGAGTTTGGTTTTGAAAAGGGTGTTAAGTCTCGTGTCATAACTGAGGTTGAATATGCTGTGTTGATTCAACATACTGTTCTTTCTTCCTCTCCATGTAGTGTTACTGCATAAATTCTTTGAATGTCAGTGCTGAGCAAGTTTATCTTGGGATACTTTTTGCATAACAATTAATTCGTCAGCTTTGGATAGAAAATTCTGCATAAGTTTTTGTTACTATTTATAAGCAGTCATTTAAAAAATGAAAATCACTTTCCTGAAAAATACCAGGATGGATATTGGAGTCTGGTAGTGGTGACTGCATTTATAAAAGGATTAAATTACTCAACTCATGCTATAAGTGATACTAATCACATTGCTGAGATAGGGAGAGTGGGCTGACCTACTAAAACAGGCTTTGTGAAGTAATAAATTTTTATAATTCTTGCAATAATAAAAAAGGCAAGTTCAATTCTACCAAGAAAATCCCAGCCTTTTATGGCAAACTACTGTGGGTGGAAAACGGCCACATTTCACAGAAGGAACTGTTTTAGAACATTGTCCCAGGTTCAGTATCATAATGATTATATCTGTATAGGACTGCTGCTGTGACACTGGTTGAAATGGTTTTTCTGAAACTCGAGCAGCAAGCAAATGTCCCTGCTTTTTTTTGCAGCCTTTGGAGCCTTCTGCTGCTCTGGGCATGGGAGCACATCCCGCTGCCAGTGAAGAGAAGTCGGCCACCAACCTGGCAGCCAAAGTGTTCCTTCTTGATGAGCTGGTGTCTCTGGAGAATGAGGTGACCGAGACCAAGAAGAAAAGAAGTTTCTCAGGATTTGGCTCCCCGATTGACAGAATTTCTTCGACCTCTGTGAATGCTAAAAGCAAACAGAGGTAAATTCTTAGATGCTCCTGCCCGTGATAAAGTTGGAAGAAGGCTGTTGGTAGATGTCCTTGATACGTGGTGGCCTCGCTTTAGGTGCGAACAAATGTACTAGTCAGTTGTGAGGTGCCTCTGATCAGGGTGCCAGAATCTTTTCAGAAACCATTCTGGTTGCATGGTGTGTAATACTCCAGCTGTGATGAATAATACATGCACCAGTTCATTCATCCCTGCAGTGCCATACAGCTAACAAAGAACATTCAAGCATACGGATTATTTTTAGTACACTTCTTTCCACCGATGTGAACTAACGTTCATTTTTAAACTGCCTTTTTGATAATGAGATTATTTAAAGCAAAAATATGCCTGAGGTTCAATAGCAGAGGGGCAGGGCTGGGTGATCCTGAGGCTGGAGTGAAAGGAAGGTTTGGTGGTGTGTGCATCTTGAAAAGGGGTAGGCAGTGGAATTAGCTTCAAGACTTCCATCAGCTTATGATAAGCCAAGGTTTAATAATGCAGCAGTACCTTCACAGTACACATTTGAAGATAAGCATATTTATAACAAGCAATGATGCTTGATTTGGCTGGGGAGAGACAGTGAGTTTGGGGCAAAGCTCAAGGGGCTCTTCACAATATCTGAAAGAACTTAACTGCCTTCTTCCTTCTTCTGGTAACTGTCTTCTTTTGGATGGAGTCCTCAGTGCCACAAAGTATTTAATAACATGCTTAAAGCTTAATCTGGAAGTGGAAAATATTCACAAGAGCCAGTCAACATTACAAGTATTTTTTTCAAACAGAGTTTTGCAATATTTTCTTGTTGTTTTTCCATTTATTCACCCAGTCTGCTACTAGGACTTTCTGACTGCAGCCAAAAGTGATAAAATATGAAATTCTTAAAACCTGGAGTAGAACCATTCAGCCTATCTCTTCAAGAGATCAAAATCAGCTCATTCCTTCTTTGCTTTTTAGCATGTTTTTCCTTTCCAGGGGAAGAAATGCAAAGTCATTTTTGAAGCTGCAGTGGGTTTTTTGCAAAAGTGCATGGTGTTCCCAATTTGTCTCAGGCACTTTGGGTGCCAGTATTGTTTTATTCTGTGTGCCGTGCAAGGGGAGAAAAAAAAGCAAACACAAAAAAAAGGGAAATTAGGGTGAAACTTGTCCAAATTTTCTAACAGCTTGTCTCTAAATAATGAGCTCATGCAAATGAGTGACACACAAAATTTCTCCTTTACCAGCATCATCAGGACGGTTTGCAGTTTTGCACTGATTTTATCGCTTTGGAGGATCTGATTAGCTTTGAAGTTTGGGATTAACTCGTTTATTAGAACCATCTGAGCTGCCTTGATCGGTGTGTTGATAGTCAGATACTAGCATGAGCATGGACTGCAGATCAGCTGAGTGCTGTGAAGCAGTAGTAAGGCTGCACCTCTAGGTGGAAACAAGCAGGGGCTGCTGTACTTACAGAAGTAAAACAGGACTGAGAGCGCCGTCACCGTCACATCTAGTGCACACAGTAGATAACAGCCCATTCCTGTACCAGTTGAGGTGGTTACCTTTAGAGACCAGATAATGACATCTGAGGTATAAAAGCTGTTAAATAGATTCAGCCCCCTGACTTAATACAGCGTGGGTAGTGCCTGGCAGCGCAACAGAAACTTTGGATGAGAGCAGATCAAACGTTAAGTCCACTTAACAGATTGCTGTGGCACCTGGCAGTTACAGGAGGGCGCAGATCCTGATCTACCTCAGCAACATCCCTTTATAGAGCTTTGGAAGCGTGGGAAGAGCACGCAGGAAGAGTGAGTCGGGAGCGGCGGCAGTTGCTGCTGTGGCTCGGGTCGGCCGCCAGAGGGGAAGCGTGACGGCGTTACACCTCATGGTGCACAACGGCCCCCACAATCCAACCTGGGAAGTTAATTCCCTCTTTCAGCAAGTCAGGCTCTGTATGACTCCAGCAGCGCAAGTCTCTCCCAGCGCCCCCTCCGCAACCCGCCCCTTATGCTGGGGGACAAGAGTGCCGCCCTTGAGGCGACAGGCTGAGGGCTAGCCCTCGGCTTGCTTT